ACTAACCCCTCCATCACCGGTACGCTCTTATGAGCGCCAAGTACCCGTTGACACGAATACAGACCGTTCACCAGACGAACAGTCTCATACCTCGTTGCAGGTACGCCCATCTGGGTGCCAAGTATCTGTCAACCCAGCCTCTAGTAGCTCCCTCAAGGAGCTAGAACATCACTCGTTGCTGGTACACCCAATTGGGTGCCAAGTACCCATCAACCAAATCTCAGGAAGCTCCCTCAAGGAGCCGTTATCTCACTCGCTACCGGTACGCTCCCTCGAGTGCCAAGTACCTGCTAGCCCTATGTCCTCGACTAGTCCCATTCTGGATATTCTCTCAACCTGTGATCCTATACACCCGTGCACGGTATGCTCACATAACGAGCGCCAAGTATCCATCGTAGCAGACTCCCATTCACCGCGAGGTCTCAGCTTTCTGTCAAAAGCTCCAAGGCTATCGGACAATTCTAATTACATGACTAGGCTGCCCTACATACATGAGGTGGACGATTCCAAGTCGTCTATAAGGATGGAAAGAAATGGATTGCCCTTAACCCATTTCTTTAACAATGGAGTTGCATTCGAGTTGTGCCTTAGTGTCAGGGCACACCCGCCTGACCCGGCCCCACCTGACCCGGTGCCCCACCATCCACTCCTCCCAACCTCCCCCTCTTCCCCTTTTACTCTTCTCTTTCTCTTCTCTTTCCTCTTTATTCTTTTCTTATCACACAGACGACTTCCTTTGTATCAATGTACCATTGACCCAGCTGCAGTGTAACACGCCCGGACCCGGACACACCGGATGACCTCCTGCACACCGGACGCTCCTAGGACCTCTTACGGAGGTACCCGGACGGATGTGGCTGTGTGCGTAGATGACGTGGCGCTTCCCACGTAGCCTCAACCACATGTATATAAACACAGCCTAAGTGGGAACTGAGAAGCAACCTTCTTCTCACATTTCCCTTGTTAATAACAATAACACATTTCCCACTTTAGCCTGAGTGGCCAGGGACCCTTGTCTGCGGCAGGCCCATTGTTATGCGTGCCCGTGTCATACCTACCGGACCCTCAGCCCCAAGCGATATACCCAGGCGCTCTTGACCCTGGGTCGGTCCCTGACACTTGGTTTTGCTCCAGATTTGCCTTCATGAACCCCCCTATTGCCTACTTTAATGGCATTCCCATCACATCTCCTGCAGGTGACACATAGGGCTCCTAGTGGATCGGATCGGTCCGGATCCGGATCAGAATCCGCGGATTATAGATAATATGTTCCAAAATTATATTCCGTTAGAACGGCCCCAATAAGAGCTTTCTAAAAATACCAAATATGTCCATATTGGTGGAGAACTGACAGAGATATGGGGAAAATGGCACAAAAGATGGGTGTCAGATGCCAAATTTGGAAATAATGGGCCTGGGTGGTTAGATTGGACTTGAAAAAATTGGGAGAAAATATGGAAACATAGGAGGGGTATCTAGGAAAGTGGGATATATTTAATCCACGGATAATCCGCCTATCTGCGGACTAGAAACCGCGGATATTATCCTCTCAAAAGCCACAGTAGAGTAGCAGTTACAGTAAATATGGGGAATTTCACCCTTATTTGCCTCAGATCTCCTGCATATCTGCAAGCAATAAATCATGTGATAAAACTGCGGATAATCCGCAAATCCACAGATTAAAAACCGCGGATATTTTCCTCTGAAAATCCAAAACCGGATCCATGAATTTCCGGATGCAGTTGCGGATATCCGCAGATCATCCGATCCGCTAGGAGCCCTAGTGACACAGCGTCTGCAACTCCTGGAAAATTTAAGTGGGTATTTGGAGCTAATGGCAGTCCTAAAAAAACAGCAGCCACTTGCATCTACCTCTGACTCTAAAAATACGATCCATGAGTGTGAAGATGGTGTTACCGGATTGGAGGCAGGTTCTTCCAAGTGCAAAGTCCAAGTAAATGTGCTCCCTCCTGTCGAGGCAGTTCCAATGGAGGGTGAAGTGACCCCAAATGATGGAAGTGTGAAAAGGAGGAAAAGCAGCGAAAAGAAACGGGAACGGGGGAATTGTTGAAGTGGCATTCCAATGCCCTTGTTGTTACGGTTATTGTTCCCTTTTATGGGATGTTTGTTGAAGTCACGAGTCACCGGAACCTTCCGGGGCATTCTGGATTGTTGTGGGAAATTGCCAGAATATTCCTGCCCAGTCTGTGCTTGCGTATGTGCACTTGCGCAACAGTTTATTTTATGTACAATATCATTGTAATACATTTTGTGTATGTATAAATATGCACAGACGTGCGTTGAGCAAAATCATCAGAAAGTTTTCTAGCTTACCTCTGGTCTTGCGAGTATAACCGCTGAAGTAAGCGGATTGCCTTATCAGGAATCCCTACATCACAACAAAGTTTCATTGTCCTAATGCTTTAGCCTTTGTTCATTTGTGCCACACAGAAATGTATATAAGTACGATGTGTAGAGCTGGATGACAAGATCTAAAGATACTGTGATATCATACTCAGGGGATCGGGCTGCAATGCCGGGATTATAACAGGAATGTGAGATAGTGTTGCCGGGATTACGCTGACTGATTGGCCGTCAATGGCTCTGAAATTACTTTGACTGTATTCCATGTAACAAATTACATTCGATCGGAGGGCATGAGACTAAAAGCGTGTCCCCCTCTTGTGTGGCTGATTTACGTTGAGTGTAGTGTTGGCGCTGCCAGCTGAAGGCTTCAACTAGTTTGACATAATTATGAGTGACCTGCAGTGCAGGTAACCGTGAAAATCACATAAGTAAAATACTGTTTAGAAAAAACTTAGGCTGCATGGTGTTATTTACCGTACCGCGATTAACTTCCCGCTGTGTAACACCCCATAATGTCTAGTCACATCCGGCAAAATTCCCATAACACCTCGTAACACGCAGCAAAATCCCGTAACGCCATCGTAACGCATTACAACAAAATTCCAGTTTTCCGACACATTCTGAGCTATTCACGTGCCAGCGGTTTCCGCCCCTCAATGGTTATTTTGTGCATAATATCCTTATTCCACAGCAGTGTTTCCTTATTTTTTTCCACCCTTATACACTGGCTATAACTATGCAAAATTGGGCTGAATCCCAGGAAAGGAATACCGCGATGCTATAACTGCACCTTGGACAACCGATATCTAGACCTATAGAGGGGGGTTCTCAGGACGTTTGAAGAGGGCCTAGAGGCCTCTTTTGTATGGGAACATCCTAGGATGTCCTGAGATGTCCTGACAATTCACTTTCAATTCAAATGTTCAAGTAACGATGTCCTTAATTCACAATCCACTTCTGGAGCTGTGTGCACGCAGAATCATGGGTTCGAGTAATAATACGAAATAAAGAGGCGATTGAGAGGAATTCATCGCAAAAACCCGATGGCAAATGGTTGAGAACTGATGGAGAAATGTGTGATTCTCGGTTCACTCAACACCGCACGGGAGTGGCATGCGTGGGAAATGACATGCAAGGTCAAAGTTCAGTGCCTCTCAGATGTCAAAAAAATACGAGAAAATATGTCAAGTTTACTTTGAGGACATGTATTGTAGTGCACAAACTTTCAGGACATTTGGACTACTATTCAGTGAGATAGGGGAAATGCACAATGTATTCCCCGCTCCTCCCATACTATCTTGCTCATTTCTCCACCATTTGGAATGAGACCAACTGCATTGGAAAGCTAAGGTTTATTATAGTTGAATGGTGTAAAGTTAGAACGGTTATGGGGAGCGGTTGAGGCTTTCAACACAAGTTTGGGTTTCCAGGCCACTTCTGTCTTTTTCAATTTCTTTTATTAGTGTTTTCCATTTCTTAAACCCAATTGGAATGTTCTTGAAGCTACCATAGCATATTATTTCTGTTTGTTTCTACAGGGAAAGGTTCATACACCACAAAATAACTATTTTTATGGATTTTACACTGTAGCCACACAGCGCACAGGCCCAGTATTTCCTCCATTCGCACCTCCATTTAAGACCCACATTACTCGCTCTTTCTAATTTTTTTTTTCTATTTTTCTGAAACCATTTTCAGTTCCTAAGCAGGATTCTCATGCACAGCATAACTTTCAACTTCTTACTTGACGGTCTCCACTTATACCCAACGTTCTTATGCTCGATCGATAGAGCACAATTAGATCTCCTACCATGCCAATTTTCGTGCTTAATGGACAAATATTAGTAGAGATTCTGATTCAACACCATGCTGAATCTCACGTGGACTTGACAGCACCTGTCAATGGTGGTACCTCAAGAACCACAGGGCCAATTTGAATAAAATTGAGCTTGTTGGAAAGCTGGAGGAGAGGAGAAGTTAGTGTGGCTCAAAAAAAGGCATGGAAAGCGACGGTTTGGTTTCGCGTCGACCTTCTTTCATATCAGGCTGCTCCAGCAGTATTTCCTCCATTTCTCCCCCATTTCTTCGTCGATTTACACATATTTTGTATCACTGAAAAGCTGTTATCAAAATGAGTCGAACTAGTCTGTAGCGGAGAGATTTTGTTCAGCCGTTGTGAAGATCGTCAACTTTATTCATTGTGTTGCCATCAATCGGCATAACTTGCAAATATATTGACAAAGATGTCATCGATTTCTCTCAAACTTGGTACTATGGGAAGAATATTCTCCACGGGCACTCAGGATATTTTTCCATATTTTTAAGGCTCCTGAGAGACTCTGAATGTCGACTTTTTCCCTTTTCCCACGCAATCCATGTTCGGTGAATATTCATGACAACACATGTTAGAACTTGAATGTGGTAATATATATGCTTACATGCGACATAACATGTGTGTTCTTCATTCTGATACCTAGCTATAAGGTTATACATTTCCTTACAGAATGTTAGCCAGAGCTTGTATGTACTTGTAAGCGATGGATTTTCCAAATCGGTGGAGATTTGACAGAGATGCCAGCCTCTCAAGCTACCCATAGTAGGTGCATACCGGATATGGTTATCTACAATGGCTTGTAAAATCTCCAAAATCTTTATAAGCATTAAAAATCCCCTTGAAAGCACCATGGCAGAGTATAATGCTCGAAATCATTGAGAAACATTGGCCATTCCCCCACCTCGGCCCTAATTCCCTTTATCTTTTCCATTTTCCTGTCTACTATTTATGTAAATAGCCGTATGTACAACATCGCGGGGCACATAGTTATCAGGACATCCTCATATTTTCCCACAGTCCATTTTTGGCAACAAGCCGCATCACCAGGACGTCCCAGGACGTCCACATTGAAATAGGCCGTTTAGGCCCTATTTGAAGCGTAAAAAACACCCCTTGATAGGGTGGGTTAATTGGCTGACTAGCCTGATAACTGCGGGAAACCTGGATACATGCGTGATTGCCCTAATCCAAAGCCCGAGAAGCATGAGTCTACAGCAGAAAACCTAGAAGGGCAAGAGAATTACCGGTCGATGACAGAATTTGTCGAAGACCCGCACGACACCATTCGCACGACCCGAAACGATAGAATAGGAGGGAGAGACCCCACCTATTTCAAACCCATAACACTCATCGACCCCGAAGACAAGAACTTCCACAGCAAGACAACTGAACAAACTATTCATCGACGAGCAAATCGCAGCAGAACTGGTCGAAGAGCCAGTTCAAAGCCTTCGAGAGAGACGGAGTCTCCCCGACCCGAAAGAGGGAAGGGAGCGAAGAGCAAGGCCCCCAGGACGTCAATTCCTGGGGAAACCATGCGAAGTTTCGCATTTCGTGAGAAGCTGGAAAATACCCTGAGGATCGACCATCGGCACTCAGGCGCATACTCACCAGAGAAGTAGAAATCGTCAGTGTAAAGCCTTCGTATTGTTCACCAGTGGAGCGAAAACGGACGTGATCTCTCCGGACTTCGTCCACGCCATGCACACAATCCCCTCCTCGGACTTCCAAACCCACTCATTCCCCAGACGGGAGCGAAGAACAATCGATCGTGCATCATGTATGGCTGTTGCGGTTACGACGCAATATTGGGAGTACCTACGCTTGACGACCGAGCGAAGAATCCTCTCCATAGGAGCACGGGCCTGTGGAAGGGCCAAACCTCCGCGCCTACCAAGAGGCATGGACGCAGGGCAGGGGAGAAGGCAGCACCTTCGCCCCAGGATGACACACGGTCAGACACTGCGCAACAAACAAACAGCCCCAATAAGACTGGGCACGCACTTCCCGTAAGTGGCAGTGCCGAAAACCAACCGCTAAGCGACAACAATACGCTAACATGGAAACCAGATGCATCCCTGGTGCAACAATAATTCCTCTCATGACTCTGAGATCCTAAGCACATACCCTTAATGGTTGACATTACAATAAACACTGTATGCGACATACCGCATCAATCTATAACATTGAGCATAATATCAACTTTCAAGTACATTAATGATACGATGAGAAGGTACAAATATCGACTGTGATGTGCATGTGGGCGTGGTCAGGGCGGGAAACGTCGGTCTATATCTCCTGCAAATGGGGTGTCCGGTGGCCGAACAGTGATTGGTGACCACTCACTCGCTCACTCACCAGTGGAACCTAGCACGAAATTTCCTCTGGACACGCCTCGTTCCTGTTCAACAATAGAGCCAGCCATGCCAACTCCCACGCCATGCCCTGCCCTGCCCATCCCTAATCGCACGGTTGACATGGAACAAATTGCCCGTGGAAATATTGGCATTGTCGATGGAGACGAAGCCCAATATTGGGATTTGATTCGGAAGGTTTGACAGAAAAATAGACTATCTATATGTGATGACCGAGCTGCTGATGGCAAGGATGAAAATAAGTCCTTCAATGTAATGAATATGTGCATTTGGTGGTCTCAACTCAACTGCAATATTGATCGCACCTGTGTGCTATATACCTCCATGATCACATCATATCAGCGATATCAATGACCCACCAGCGAAACACTTGTATGCAAGAAATATTGAGTTATATTTCATTCCTCAAAGATATCGCTATATATAGCCTCTGAAAGGAGCCCTGCCGGCTGTCTCTCCATTTTCTACGCATTCCTCTCCACACCGAGGTGAGAACTACTTGATTCATGTGGAATACATAGCTACTCACGCCACGTACATTACCTGCCAGCACAATAGTAGCGTCAAAAGTCTCGATGCGATTCTGGAATGCCTTGGTCCCAATGGGTCTACTACTTCCCATCGTTGCAGCTGGATTCCATGGTGGAATACTTACTCAGACGGCGCCCCCCGATAGCAACGGTTGGGCTAGCATATTTTGGATTGCAGTCCCATCGGGGCATGGTGAGCCGAAGCTAAAAATGAAATTCGCTCCTGTTTAACTAATGTTTTACCCAACAGACATCTGTGACAGCCAGGAAAAGGAAATAAACATACACGCCTCCAATATCGTACCCCTCGGGTACCCACTGAAGTTTCAGATTTGCGATAATACGGTTACGGTTTCCGATGACCTTAACCACTGGGCCACCGACCAAGGTAACGGAGACTGTTTCCGAATTGGCCCTGATCCACTCTTCAATGCGGGTAATTGCACGGATTCCTCCCAGGTGTGGTATGATAAGTTCTTTTGCGACTCCCACGTGTGCGCATAAAGGCCACAAGCAGAGCTGGCATGCAGTGACCACTGCAGGAGTCGGGGGGCTTGGTCAGGGGGCTAGCTGTATGATGATTGACTGTCTAAGCCGATAATTACATTCGAAATGATCATTACTGTGTTCAAAATCTATCTTAATACCCCGCACCTTCATGGTGTTGTGGCAGTGCAGCTGTCCCACATCAGCAAACCACCGAGGTTGATAGAAGCGATTGAAATCATTTCTATTCGCTGTTTCACATAACCAATTCCAGAACGCATCCGGATTACTAGAAGCCTTGTTGATTCAATTTCAGCATGGATTGAGGTGATATCAAGATTCAGGCCATATTAGAATGTTACAAGATGTCTCGTGAAGCAATCTCTCAATATCGACATAAATGAGCACGAAAATCAAAATGATTATTATTATTGTTATTAACATTAATCAGTCTCCAAAATGATAAAGTCATCGTTGTTCTCACTGAGTCCGAGCTTCGTGCTAGAGATAGAAATTGAGAGCAAATAACTGTCAGGACAGGATATATCACCCACAGCGCTCTCTGCCCATATTCCTCGGAAATCCTATTCCAATCATCCACGCGGTCTAATCATTGGAATGCTCAGAAGAACTAAACTCTGATTGGGGTTCAGCAAGCGTTCCAGACTTGTACTGGTTCAGGATATATTTGATCTAGAGTTAGTTTTACGAGTATATAAGTTAGAATTTCACTAACAATGCCAGCTGCAAACTCACGATTGTCAGTGCATAAGCAAACGCCTGAAGACCCAGGGATTGCAATTTCTCCCTCAACTTGACACTGGCCAAAGGAAGAACCGGTTTGAGCTCCTTGAGTGCAAAAGTAAAGTCCAAAACCGCTGTGACTGCTGGGTGCTCCAATGCACCGGATCGGGGCTGGGGGTTTCCAGGGAGCAAGAATTTGAGTCTTACATACACAGGAGGATATATTTGGTTTTACATTACTGGAATTTGAGCTGTATGTGCGAAATGCAAAGTTTGAATTAGAGAGTGCAAGCTTGACATTCTCTTGGATGGTGACTCTGTCTCCGCTAGGTCCAATTCCGTAGAAGGGAGGGATTGTATTCACGAGGTGTTTCTTGAATTTGGACCTCCATGACTTAATGTTGTGAACAAGCTGAGAGAGATTCAGCTGAGGTACACAACAAAGTGGAAATGCACCCACTGTAGCTACAACACTTTTCTGTATCTCAAATGGTGAAATCCCTGATCTGCGGAAGGTGTCATTGGCTAGCCTCTGAATGACCACTTTGCAGTCAGTATTTTCTATAAAGAGATTTTCGATTATCGCCAGCAAGTAGAAGTCACCACGTATATGTTCAAAAACTGAGTTCAGCTCTGGGTCCATCTTCATATCTTTCCTCAGGGCTGCTTTGGTATGGCCAGCGACAACAACTTTCTCCTCCTTGACATCTTGGCAAGTTCCGCCAGAAGTACTTTGGCTAGATGTTGGGGCTGATGGCATATCAATATCACTGGCTGTGTCTTGCCAGCATGTGGGATCTTCCGTGTGAGTATCGCCATCATGGCCCTCGCAGTTGCCATTAAGAACCAGTGGCAATGGTTGGAAGCTGCTTGGAGAATCTTGTGTGGCCACTGAGATGACTCAGAGCAGGTGAGAGGCACTTCCAAAAACAATCAGTAATGCAGACAAATTTTCAATGAATTCCTCACATTTGTCAGAGACCAGATCGAGATGAAGGAGTTGTCTCCATGGTGGAGGGCTTCAGCCTCAGCGACTCAGGCCAGGAGCACTGTGCCAAGTTACACATCTGTGCCCTAATTTACTTACTGGCAACGAGAACTAAAGGGGGATCAACTCTAGTCGATTTTATCACTGAGGTGTAGCCTATGTACAAGTTAAGTATATATAGTTACAGTGAGAGTGGGCCCATGAATGGTGGGACCAAGCAGAGTGGAGCTAACGGAGTTAAACATTAGCCGATTGAATATTACTGACAAGTCGGGTTACGGGGTTAGTGGAATGGCAGGCGATAACCCAGAAACGGAAAGGAGGGATAGGCCCAAAGGTGGGCTTGCAGGGAAAGCAAGTGAATTGCCCAGCAGAGGCAGAAGTGCACTAGTGGACATCAGAGCTGTCCGGAAGCCTTTGGGGCTCCGTACTTAGGGAGGCATAGGTAATATATTGAAAAGAGGGGGTGGTGACCATCGAGGGAGGCAGAGGTGATTGCAGAATAGGGGAACTCCGAGGTTAGTGAAGAAGGAGTGGAGGTAGTCCGGAAGGGTCGGAGGTGGTGGAAGATGATGGCCATGGATGGATATGACAACATTATCATTCGTTGGAGCCAGTGTCAAACTGTGTGATCTTGAGCTTTTAGAGCCGAAATAATCTTGAGTCATGACCCTAAAGGTGCTTTGCTGTGGCTGTGGCTGATAGCTGGCAGGCACATTGATTGGCGGATCTGCAACTTGAATATCCCACTTGACCAAATTCAGCTAAAATGGAAGTAGGGCTGTTTGGATTACAATACCTCACTGTCGGCAGTGGAAAAATCTGTGGTAGTGAATTCAAAGGATGCGGACACTAGTGATTTGAGAGCATAATTTAGTATCAACAGCAGATCTCTGATGACAACTATATGACTTACCTCCAGCTGTGCCCGAAAGAGTTGGTGTCCCATTAACCTGAATGGATGGAACAGCATTTCCATGATAGTGTCAGGGCACACCCGCCTGACCCAGCCTTCACCCAGTACCCCGCTCACCTCCACCGCTCACCCTTCACCATTGCTTCTCACTTCTTGTTCTTCCTTTTGTCCTTCTGTTCTTTTACTGTCTTGCTCTTTCTTCTATCTTTATCTACATGGACGACATTTCCCCTCATCTATGTATTATCGACCTGCCCGCGACATGTGCATGACGCACCCAGCCCCGGATGACCTGGACGGCCTCACGGTGCAACCCAACATGTGCGTGTGCAGCACATGCCCTTGGGATCCCCCACAGGGACACCTGGATGACTGCAGCTGTATGCGGGATGACGTGGCAAACCTCATGTGACCCAAGCCGCATGTACATAAAGGTACCTGGGGTGGGAACCGAAGAAGTAACCTTCTTCTCACAGTTCCCACTTCAGTCTGAGTGGCCAGGGATCGTCATCCCAGATCGGGCCCGTCACTACGCATGCCCGCTCTACACCTTGCAATGGCCTCAGTGCTGGGCGTTACACCCGGGCCCCCTCGACCCCGGATGTGTCCCTGACAGCAGAAGAAGGTTTTAACCTTATCTCCCCCGCCTCCCCCATCTCCCCAGCCATGGTGTCAGAAGAGCAGTACGACGACCTGCTGGCCTGCTTCCAGGAGCTCCAAGCTATTGTGGAGAGCCAAGCCTGCAACCACCCCCCACCCACGCCTGCACCAGCACCCGCACCTGCACCCATCCCTATACCCACACTCACGCCTAAGCCCAAACCACCAAAGGTCGCTCCCCCCACTCCCTTCTTGGGAGCCAGTGAGGACCTCGACTGTTTTAAGGCCGAGTGCGGGATCTACTTCCATGTCTGCGCTGCCAAGTTCCCCACCAAGCTATCCCAGATCCTCTTCATCCTCTCCGACATGAAGGGAGGACCTGCAGGGGTGTGGGCGACACAATGGACGATCACCCTGCTAACGGCCAGCTGTCAGGGACACGTCCGGGGTAGAGAGGGCCCAGGGGTAATGCCTGGCACTGAGGCCGTCATGGGGTGTGGAGTGGGCGTGCGTACTGGTGGGCCCGATCCGGGACGATGGTCCCTGGCCACTCAGACTGAAGTGGAGAATGTGAGAAGAAGGTTACTTCTTCAGTTCCCACTTCAGGTACATTTATGTACATGTGGCTTGAGTCACATGACGAGTGCCACGTCATCCTCGGAGACAGCCGCAGGCATCCGGGTGTCCCTGTGGGGGATCCCGAGAGCGTCCACTGCATGCGCGCGTGCTGGGCACAGTGGGAAGCCGTCTGGGGTGTGTGGGTGTGAGGTCTTTGGGGTTGCTCAGCACACAAAGCCGTAAGTGATACAAGATGATGTATTTTACGGTGGTGTGTAAGCGGTTACCCGGAGGTTCCCGCTTGTCCACGTGACTATATCTATCTAGTTTACATGTGACTCGGGGTTCGGGGCTATTGCCCTGACATTCTCCCCCCTTGCGTTGCATATGCGACGCATACAAAGTTGATAGTGAATAAAAACAGAATTTTAATAGTTGGTTTACATTGAGTTTGGAATTATCAATGAGTGTTTCTGTTGTCGCCACTTTAAAGTGGGCGATTTTGTACATGTTGGTGAAAGGAAGAGAAGGGGTTTGAATGAGTGTGGGCTGTTACTTTGAAGTGAACGGCGATACATTGGTATCGCAGGGAGAGAAGAAAGAAGTGGTGGAGTTTGTCGAAAATGGATTTCGACCCAAAGGTTGTATTTCTTTGGTGTTCCTCACTTGTTCTGTGAGGGTTCGTGTGTAAGTGGTGTTTACACACGAGCGGTGGTGGGTGTGGGTCTTTTGGCGGAGTGGAGATTTCCGCAATTGTTACTTGCGGTTCCTCGCATACAGTATTGTGTGCGGGGCCTCGAGTTGGGGGGGGTGTTTTCACGGGCGCCTCGATGGCGTATTACCGTGTCACTCTCCCTTCTCTCAAGGGTGGATTCATTGCCCCGGAGGAGGGTTTTCCTCCGGGTTGTTCATCTGGACATCCGATTGCTGCGTCGGATGCGATGACGTAGCCTGGGCTACATTGTCGGGCTGTGGGCTCGATGAAGTGGGTGCTCCCTGGGTGGGAGCGGGTTGTTGTGTTCCTGAGCTGCTTGGCTCAGGTGTAGAGTACGGTAGGTTTACCGTTCTTCCCATGGGGAAGGATGGTCGTTGGGCTGGTTGTCCAGCTCGGAGACTTGCGTCTCTTTCCCGGTATTTGGAAGCTTTCGCTTCCCGCTCCGCCGTTCTTGCGGCACGTTCCTCAGGAGTCCTGAGTGGTTTGAACTGGGACTTTAAGTAGGCAGCTTTGCCTAGACTTTCCCAGGAGATTTTTCCCTTGTTCTCCGGGGAATTATATTCCTCCGCGAGTCTTGCGATGCTCGGGAGTCCCAAGAAGTATTTCTCGGTTTCCTTCGCTTTTTCGCGAAGGGTTCTGTGTACCTTGCCGCTTTTGAAGGCGGCTTCAGCCTGTTCGTACCAGTGTACGAATTCTTTCCCACTCATGCTTGTCCACCAAGCGTATGCGGCGTCATGCGCCGCTTCTGACCCCGCTATTCTCCTCATGGGGAAGTTGGGGTCGATTGTTATGTCGACTGGAGCTTCGACTTTGCCGGACTCGTTGAGTTCGGCGGTCTCGTATAGCATGTGGACACTTCCCTGCAGGGTGGCTTGCCCATAGGGTGCTGAGGTACTCAGTGGCCCGCCGCCTCTGGCAGTGGTCCCCGTTTTAGGGTCTGCTGTCGGTTGCCTACCACTCTCCCTCTTCCCCTCGACATGGGTTTGCCCCTCTGAGGGCGGGCCTTTATGCAACCCGGACAGGGTCGCCTGCCCATGGGGTGGCGGGATAGTCGGTGCCCCACCCCTTGATGCGCTAGTCCCCATTTGGGGTCGCGCCTCATGAGGCCCGGAACCGTATCCCCTCCCCCTGACCTGGGAGGCCCCCGTCATGATGGGTTTGGCAGCGAGGTCTGCCAGTGCACGTGCCTCTCTGAGCTCGCGTTTCAGTAATTCGATCTCCCTTTTTTGGAGATCGACTTCTCTCTCTGCGTCTTTCAGAGAGTCAAAGATGCCCTCAGCATCTCTTCGTGCTCTATTGTATTCGCGCCTCCAGTGGGCGCAATGGTCGCAGGCGTCTTCTGACGCCCTCGAGTTATTAGACCGTGCCCGCTTGGACGGTCTGGACGAGGAGCCGCTGTCGCTCCCTCGTCTCCCTCCTACGAGGGACTTCATTTCTTTCAGCTCCTCACGGAGTTGACCTGTCTGAGCAGCTACCGCTGACGCGATGGCTGATTCCCAGCCTGCATTTGGCTGGGGCGTTGTTGGACCTGGGCCGAATTGGCTAAACCAGGGGTTGATCTGGCCAGGGAAGTTCCCTGGGGAGTATGCCTGGGGCTGCAGCAGCAAATGCTGCCCCTGGAATGGCGCTTGTTGCGCCATCGGTGCAGTTTGCACCGCGTATGGTTGGAAGCCTCTTTGGGGAGGCTGGGGGTGTGCGATGCCTGTTGGCAACGCGGATGGTTGATGGTTCGCAGCACTCATTTGTGCTGCGTGCGTCGTGTAATCCATGGCGCTTATCTGCGCCTGGTGTTGTTGTTGTTCCGGGGAGCCTTGCTCCCCGGGTTGTCGTATTTCGATATCCGGCGGTTTGTTTGGATCGAACCGAGGGTTGCCTCCCCCAGAGAACGACATCTCGTCGTTATGTTACTCGTGGCAGTGGGAGGGGTCTTCGTTCTTGTGTGCATGGGATTCGCCGCGGTTGTGTGTTCTTTTGCACGTGAGC